TTGACACCGCTGACACGATAGCATTTATGTATCGAGGTCTTTTTCATACTCGGCCAGTAAACTCGTTGTCTGAGCAAATCATAGGTTCTGGTACATCCGGGATGGGCCATCTCGTGACAAGAGACCGACAACGTTTTCCTCAAATTCGGTGGGATCACAAGCACAAGAGTAGCGCCTCGCCCTTGTGTCCACATCCGAATTCCGGCTTCGTTGACATGCAGGTTTTCCAGGTTCCGCGCGAACGGCCCGAATTGTTTGCTTTGGCTTTTGGTTGCCACATTTTGGTTCATCATTCGTGCTGTTATCAGTCTATTCATAAGCCTATCCTTCTGTTGCTCAGCTGCAAAGCCACTTGGATTCTGCTCTAGCACCAAAGCACTGACACCGAAGGCAACGCTCGGCAAATTGTCGTCACTCGCGATAAAGAACCTGCCGTTCCGTTGTCCCTCCTTGATATCTAGATTCTCGTAAGCGCGGCACTAGTGTGTAAAACGACAACGATTGAGCACGCCTGTGTGGATCCTTCTCTACCAGCGACGGGTGCAGACCCATATTTCGTCATAAGCTTTCTGCGTTGCAGGTCGACGATGGCCTCATTGGCTTCGACAAAGTCTGCCCCCAGAATGGTCTGTTTTGCGTCCGGCGAAACGACGAAGAGATGGTTGAATTTATGACTCCCGATACCAACCACGTGCTCCGCTATACCAATTATGCGCATATCGTAACCAAAGACCGTCTTCACCTCCATGGAACACGATTGTGTTTTCACTCCATCTCGATGGCTGATCAGAGACTGCGGCTCCTGTATCTAGTAAATACCTCTCCATTCCTCCATTCATCACTACCATCGCACATTTGTTTAGGGCCCCAAGTTTGCACTTTCCAACACGACAGCAATACCATTTGTAGCTTTTACTTGGTATAAAGAGTGCAGTGCGCCTTGATGGGCATTGCCGCACCAGTGTCCCAGTTGCCCACAAAAGAAGCATCGCCCACGTTGCCCCATCCGCTGATGTGTAATTCGAGGGGCACCGATATCTTGCGTAAGCTGCGCCAACGTCTCTTCTAACCTGTCTAATCACTCGCTGTCCTGTTGGTCTTCGATTCTCAATGCTGCCGCCGGCTCCTGTACCAACTCACTAGCCACTCGAGCAAGTTCCACCAAGCCAGTTCGCTGGGTGGCGCTCACAATCCGCAATCGATCGGTTATTGGTGAATGTAGACCGTCCAGCAATTGCTCCACTAACAGTTGCTGTCTTGACGCGTCGTCTAAATCGGGCAGCGCCCGATCCAACAAGCCGCTGAGATGGATCACAAACACGATCGGATCCGCTCCTAGCCCTAGTCGAGACGCCTTGAATCGTCGCATCGCATTCTGGCGATCGGCCGGACCGTCAAACCGCGCGATCAGCACCTTCGCTGTGAGTCATTACAACTCGACTGGGCCTATTTTTGCCGCCCCCAGGACCGCCTTCACCCATCCCTAGAGTAGACGCCGAAGCGAAACCGACTTCGCTTGCTCCTGCTTGCGCGACATCTTCGAAGTCCTCCAGGAATCTGTACATCCACATCCTCAAATGGCCACGGGGTCTTGATATTCCACCTCCGACCGGTCACGGTAACAACTGGGGAGAAGGCCGGGCGGTGCGAACGAGTTCTGTGTTGGAGAAGAAACGTATACATGGTTTAATATTGCGAACATAGAACAGTCGAAATCATTTGCGCACTTCAATCGTGGTGCCATTTGATTCTAATCGCCGCTATGTGATATCAACTCAGCTTGTCGTGACGGTGTGGTATAAGCCTAAAACTCCAGCGTCATCCGTCTCTATGGCTGGTTGAATGATGCACTACGCGCCCGTCGTCCCCGGTGATCCATTATTCGCTGAGTACACCGAGGCCTGCTCGTTTCACCATGCTACTCATTAGTAGTGCACCACAAAAGTACAATGGCAACCGGGCTGGTCAAGCACTGACTGAACACATTTGAGGAGGCGTCAGCAGTACGCAAACGCGACAACCATGAGTTGCACGTAGACTAATAAGATACTGCGAGGCCGCCCGCACCTATGCACATTTGAACCGGGGACTTTTAGGTTATAATGAAAACCAAGCAGCACACAAGGTACTGGGTAAGTGGAACCGATTAATGGCATCGCCTGGAGACTGATTACTCTTTCAATTAAACCTACGGACATCCAATAACACCGTGTGCAAATACATTGCTGGATGTCTGATATGCCACGCGTCAGCAGTACGCAAATGCGCCGCACCGACGCTTCGCTGCAACGCGAGCACCACAAATTGCACGTAGGCTAAGGATACTGCGAAGTTGTCGACCGCACCTACGCAGATTTGAACGGGTGATTTTTGGGTTACAAGGCAGATCACGCAGCACGCAAGGTAAGGGGTAAGTGGAACCGATTAGCGGTGTACATTAGCAATATACCGGTAGATTGTACTGACGCTTCGCTGCAACGCGATCACCACAAGTTGCACGTGAGGTAAGCGGATACAACGAGGACGCCCGCACCAAGACAGATTCGAACCGGTGGTACCTTTGAGTCGGAGGGCAGGTGCCTCATCGGACACTTAACGACAAGTTAAAAGTAACTTGTCGTATGTCCACAACATAGCGTTGGCGGTAGTTGTGTCCTCGCGCGTCAACTTCCAGCGTGAACAATGGGTCTGAAACTGTTGGGAACTCGCCGATACATTCTCGGATGATGCGAATAAGACGAAGCACTATCAAACATCTGAAGGCAAATTAGCAAGTTAGGCTGAAGAAAGAACGCAAATCCTGGTGGTTTCGTCGCACATGGATGATGGAGATCGCTGCGGTCCTTTGTAAGCATTAAAAGTTATTCCGGTCGAAAGGGGAAACGCGCAACAGAAGACCTGGTGTTAGCGAGAATAGATATGAAGAAAAGGCGCAGCTTACCCACAACTTGTCAGAACATTTGGACCGTTGCGGTGAACACTCTGAAAAGTCAATAGGCCAGAACTACCAGCATCGACACTGGTCAGTTATCGCCCAGCTCCATGGGCTGCCCCCTTGGATCCACCCTCGCACAAAAGTCGAATTGTTAAAATCGAATTCGGTTGTAGGACCAAAGGAACTCACTCCGACTGCAAATTCTGGGAACCTGATTGTCGTATACGGGACCCAACTCAACATGGAGTGCTGTCATCCAATCAGACCACACAACTGTCCAGCCAATCACCACTAAGCTGGAACCAACCAAACGATATACCCCAGTGATTCTGGTAAACACGTGAACTTCCTGTTGACACTTTGTTGACTCTGCTTGTCAGTATCTCTTGATCCGCTGTATCAATACTACCGGTCATTTCCATGATCTAGTATTCTATCCACCTACTAGAACAGTTCGGGTTATATCCCTGATAATGCCGATGTTCCACACGATTTATTTGTGTATCTATTGGAGCAGAAAACTGTCCCAACCAAATGGAGCCATCCGGTTACAGTCCCGATTTTTGAGGGACCTCAGACTCCAAAGATGGTAATCATAGTGACATCAGTAAGGTTTATATCGTTTCCAAAATGCTTGAATCTCTTGTCTTCCCAGAGTGACTGGCACCGTGAAGGTCACACTTGTGAAAAGAAGGCCAGCTTTCGCCGAAACAGGCAGTTTTGACCAAGGCTTGTTTATGCCATTTGGTGTGGCATAGCTACGTATGTTAGCGACCAACCCTAATCGTGTTTTCTAGCGTTAGATGTGTGTTCGATTTGCTGGATCGATGTGTCCTTCACGGCTGTTTGATCAGCAACGGTGCACCCAAGGAACATGCAAACATCATCAGAGCGCTTTGCGCATTTAGTTCGGATAGTGTGAAAGTCTCATGAAGCAGTCCCTCAACTTGTCCGTCGCGTATCTGCTTTCGAATCGCCGATCTTCGTTTCTGAGTTGTTGGCACATGGGCAAAAAGTGTTGCAAAGTTTTCTCCCTGTACTGACGATTGGCGAGGGTGGGCTAAAACTGATCCAGAAACGCAACTACAAAGGCAAGTGCATCAGCACTTTCGGAATAACAGAGACCACATATATAAGTAAAGCTAGAGTTGCTTTCGATGATTTCTGCAACTTAGATAATCGATGCGACATCGCAGTCGCACTGAAGAGTTGAAAATGCCATCGTCAGATCAATTCTGCTGCACCATTATGAACCCTGGTGTATTAGACGGACAAACGTAAACGGGTTAGTTATATTCGATCATCGGTTCCTTCGCAGATCTGGTGGGAACACCGCATGAGCAATTAGCTTGTTAAGTGCCTTATTTGTGATGCAGGAAGAGGAAGTGAACTGCCCCGCCCCACTGTTCAACGCATAAGGCCCTTAATGACTAGGTCGTAGGTCGCGTATGCCGATACGTTAACTCCTGCGATGTGCGTTGTTTTCGCAACCCGGGTCAGAATGGAAGATACGCCAGCGGATAATTTGGGCAACAGGAATGAGGGCACTCAGCGCGGACGTGGCCTGGATTGGTGCTTCCCGGCACCTGGCCTAGGGTTGTAAAGACGATGAACACGTTTACCTGGATACACTTGTTGAATGGCAAAAAGCCGACCACAATGGTAACTGTGTTATGTGTTCTTTTCTCCTACCCATCGCACTTAGTTTCGTTCTGCAACCCTGATCTCAATTTCGATGCATAATAGAAAACAAAAACAATGCATTACTTTTGTTGATTTTTAAACATCTTTTCTGCGATCGAAATGAGTTGCATTACAGCAATATAGCGGAAATGTCTCGCAGATTTACCTAACGTGCTGGATGATGTTGGCGATAAGTATATCACCAAAGTAATATGGAAAATGAACTCGTCGGGGCTGATAATGCATGAAGTGTTGTGCCAAGGTTGATGTAGTGTAAAAAATGCCATACATTCAAGCGCATGCTCGGTAGGCGGAAACTGAACACCCGGTTGGTACACAGACACATAGCAGTAACTATCTGAAGGGTTCTAAGTACAGCAGAGCGAAATACAGTCCAGGACAAAACAGCTCATGGTGATCACCAACTATGATGCCCATGGAGCCAACAAAAAATAAAGTTGAGGTAGATAGCTGTGAATAAAGGCAAAGGTAGGTTGGGAAATTGAGATTTTCGACCTACGTAAATTCTTTATCCATGACAAGCGGAAGCATGTTCGTAGGTGACGGTTCGTTTCCGATCTCCAAGTAGAAACGAAACGCTCCAACACTTTGGCATTGAATGCTGAAGACCAGCAGACGAGGCGTCGTGGGCAGATTGCTGTCATCATAGACGACCCCATATGCATCAACGTAGGTATTTAAAGGTTGGGGTACTCGTTTGATAAGTGGAACCAAAGGCCCAACAGGATGAGGAGGATCAACGGGTTTGATACGAGCAAAATGACCGGAGGGGTTTACCGGCCATGGTTGAGGTCCGTGGTTTACCTAGAAGTACGTCCGAAAAACAAATCATAGATATGAAAGAAGACGATAGAGATAATCCGAAAAGAAATGAACTCGGTAATCAGAATTTGAATTCCGTGCGTGAAATGAGGAATCACGGACCATGTTGTGCGAAGTTACTCTATCATGTGGAGAAGCAAAGTTAGGACGAAATCACACGGTTGACTGATCATCAGTGAGGGAAGTGTAGTAATCTTGGAGTTAAAGCTAGCGTTTCTTGATTATGGGTCTAGGGTATATAAAGTAGCAACATCAGTTATACAGCTTCGATAGTCTGCAGCAAGACTGAGAGCGACATTCGTTGTAAATGCGGAAAAATACTACGTTTTTATACCTGGCTCTGTTCAGTTTCGCAGCGAGTCTCAAAACGTGTGTGATCATCAAAAGCCAAGATCCGCCAAAAGTAGTATCAAAATTCAGAAGTGAGGTCGTATTTGAAGAAAGCACACCCTTGCAACGTGAACTTCAACACACTACATCTACAAACTTTCTGCTAAAACCGGAGCTGAAGCACACATGCACACTTCCTTGACACCCGATCGGTAGACCAATCTATTAACACAGTGTGCATGTGTTCCCCTCCTAGTGATGAAGATGAACAAGCTATGGTTGGGAAGGACTCTATATTTACTCCCTAATGGCGAACCGAGGAGACAATGCTGAGAATGCTCAGTTGCTCAAGCTTCACATGATGACAGCTGTTGCATGCACATAGGAGACAGTAAAGAGTAACCAAACGCGCCAAATCCTAAAAAGCAATAAAAGTTGGTAACCGTCATCACAACACGTTTGAAACAGGTACACGTCTAAAGAAATCAATTATGCTCCAGTTATCAACTGGACACTCAACGAGTGGTTCGTCGGGAGAATGGGAATGGTGGGTCAACTAGCATAATGACTAAGAGCGAGGACCACAATCTACGACTTAAGCGTGTTAAGAGTAAAACTTTGAATGCACCTGCTGTTGTGCGCATTTTATCAAATGCAGCTGGTGTATACTACCCATTGCAGCAGCCATTCCGAGCATCTGCTATTTCGTATACGGACCTATTTTCGGACCAATGATGAGTGCGATGTTCAAACCAGAATAAGAGGGGACTGCATCGCGATCCATTGACAAATATGCGCTATTATTAATAGTACTATTATTGTTATTATTATGCAGGAGAGTATGCCCACAGACTGGTTCAAGAGAGAACACAAAACCGAACGAATCTTACCATTAAATAGCTAAAAGGCAGTGCATTATGGAATTAACAAAACCAAAATGCTTGGAGTAAAAACAGCGAGAATGAGGAATGATGCATGGCGGGAAGTAAAAGGGTTATAATGTCTGCTACACAGTGTAAACCTGAAAACAGCCAACAATGATACTGTAGTGGATTATTGCAATGATCGAAAAATTCCTCTGCAAAGTACACTCGGTTGTTACTTAGACCGTACTTTCGGTTATTCAATGATTATTCAATGTGGCTGCGTTCATGCACAAAACCATGTCCCCAAAGAGCCCGGATGTTTTGGTCACCCTGAGTGTGCATGTATTGCCAACTGTCCCACACTTTCACCCAATGGTTCACCACTTGTTTGTGCTTTCTTTCCCCCCACACCTCTAACGAGGACCTCATTTCAATTTGTGTCGATTGTAACAGCGGGGCCTTTAAATCGGCCGTTGCCATTTTCGTCGAACATTATGTTTACGTCATGCACCACAGATATATCAGTTTTAATAGGACAGTCTGACAGAATATATGTTCAAACTAATTCCACTGAGATCGTCCTAATCTATCCATATTTTAAATAGAAAAAAACGAGATACTATGCACGATCCCCGCCCGACCCATTGCATTTGGACACGCAATTTCACGCCAACTGAAGCCTGTTAAGAAGAAAAGTTTCTGTAAAACTGCCTTGTTTATTGAATGCAAATCCAAAAAATTCTGTTCGACATTTTGGGACCGTTGCTCTGGAAAGCGGAGCCGTTTACTCAAGTGAGGACAGTGCACCATTTTTATCTTTGCATATTTGATGACGCCAATTTAGTCCGTCCGCTGATGATAATGCAAAAATGCCGCAAATGTACCTATCCGGGTACATGAGGCTTATTTTGACCTGACTTAACAGGTGGCCCTGCATCTGGTCCTATATTATTATCTGCATGTCGTTGTAACATAGACGGACTGGACCAGTACATCTTTGGTTATAGCTATCACCGAACAGCCACTGGAAGTGTGGATCGGCTCACTTACCTTGGTATCTGTGGCACCTATGGCGGTTACATCACTGAGGTGGTTACTTCGCGTATCAGCCAGGCCCGTGTGGCATTTCAGAGGCCCAACCATCTGGAGACGGAATATCAAGCTGTCGCTAAACATAGTGTGCACCACGCTGCGATAAGGTCGTTGTTGTCGTCGATCAGAGATCTGGCAATTCGCAGTGAAGACATTAAGAGCTTGGCCATATTTGACCACCAGTGCTAGTGGAGTACTGCTCACGTATGGTGGGAATGCCGTGTGAGCAATGTGAGGACCGCCAGTTGGCTAGGACATGTCATCCGAATGCCTGTTGACCGCTTTCCTCCGCGTGCACTATACGCCGTGACTGTGCCAAGTTTAGCGAAAGTTCGAGGTGGCCAATCCAAGACGTGAAGTAAGACATGAAGAAATTGACTGAGAGACTTAACCAAACATGCCGTGCATCCCGTGGCTGGGGGCTCCGGTATGGTCCACAGCAGTGGTTGGAAACCCTATCAGATATGGTGCAGTCAGTGGCGTTCCTGCATTCGGTTGCTTGCGTCCAGTGCTTGATTTTTATTCCATTCCGTCTAGTTTAATGCAACATCTCCTTGATCCCATTCTCTTTATATTCGATTTGCATTTCTTTTCTCCTCATTGTTAGTGTTATTCTGGCGGCGTGAGTCATAGCAACTGGATCCACTGCACTTCGGTGCCTGGAGAGTAGTTGTTCAACTGAACTGAACTACTGCTCGTGTATGTAGTAGTCACAATTTCCCCAGATCTTTCTAGCGGAAGGTATGCGTCCATGTGGATAATCAAAATGCCTGGCTGGAACGCCTGAATACTGGCTGACATGTACGGCATGGGAGCGAACACAACAAAAATTGGAAAGACCGCATGTCAAAAACTTGTGCTAGCCTGAAGAGAAATCGGGTAGTCTAGTGGTCTCATCGTGTATCGAAAATGGAAACACCCACTGCCTTTGGGAACGATTAGAAGTTATTCCATCTGATACGCGGAACAGGCTGCATGAGACTTGGTCTTAGCGAGACTATAAGCGACGAAAGTGGATAGCCAATCTACGGCTTGTCGAAACGCTTGGAGCGTTGAAAAACAGGATAAACAGTGAGAGTTACTGTCACTCTTCTCCCTGGCCCGTCCGCTTGGATCCGCATCCAAACGCAGAAATCAAACGTGACATCTGAACGGTGAAATCGAGTAAAGTTGCAAGATCATACAGACTTCACCTAGCATTCTACAATTGCGGAAGACAAGCTTTTTTGCATCATTTGCGAAATTCATTAGTGCAGTTGTAAGAGCAGGTGACTGTCCCAAACAGACTGCAGCCTCTTCGTTATAGTTCCAATTTTCAAGGCTCAGGTTCGGAATGCGGAAATTGTAAAGGGATCAATTCGATCTCCGTCGTTCTCTAGAGACTAACTCGTACTCGTAAAAGCCAGCTACAAGACGAGTAATCAGAGATTCATCGAACTACGGGATATATTGATCGCAGCTTCACATTACGTCAGCTATTGAGACACCAACATATGTAACGGCGACCCACTGTAGTCGTGTTTCTTGATATCAAAGGCGCCTTCGATCCGGTTGATCGATGTGCCCTTCGGGACTGTCTACTCAGAAAATGTGTCCGATAATTGTGTAAACCTTATCAGAGCGCTGTACGTGCACAGATCGGGCAGAGCGAGGGGATGTGGCAAACAGTCGCCGCCCTTTAATACCTCCAGCGGTGTGAGACGAAGGTGCTCGCCATTAGCTTTTCTGTTTAACTTCTCCACCGAAGCCATCGTGGAAAATGCGTTCACTTGGTACGACTTGGGGTGTGTGGAGTTGCTCCCATGTGATCGAGTTCTTGACTTGCAGTACGCCGACATTGCATTAGTCTTTGACAGCTCGTAAACAGCAGCATTGAACAAAGCAGCACTCGCGTTCTAGTGCATCGTGTTATACTCTGCACCATAGGAATGCAAAGTCCTTATCCAAAATTGGCGGGCATCCACTCACACTGGGACTTTTGGTGGTGATAGCGTAATATTGCTTCGGTCCGGCGTTCCAAGATCTTCCGTGTTCAAGTAGTGCGGCAAGCTGCAATACAAAATAAGTACCTCGTAGACGGCTGTATGCTCGAGCCGCCTAGGAAGAGGATGGTGTAAAGGTGGCAGCTAAGGAAGCACGGAAGAGGGAAGGGGAAGTGCCGGAGTGGCACAAAAAGGTAAGGATAACAGGAAGCGAAAACCGATCGACCTCTTACCTGTTAACGTGCTACCGTGACGCCCGCGGACAGGGCTACAATACGCTAGAACTCGCCGAGGAATTCAAATATCTAGGCAGTCACATGGGTGCGATTAATCAAAGCAACAACAGCAGTACATTTGTGATTTGAAATGATGCTTCGCTGCCATACAACCATGATGACATATAGAACGAAGAACAATAAGAGGGAGAGAAGGGGGACTCACATAAAAACATTAATGCCCTAAGTAAACATTCAGGATCAAGGCGCCTACACCTTGTGTAGCCAACATACCGTCACGAACAGCTGCCTACCGTGCAAATATAACGCGACATCGGCGAGATAGCTTCCATGCGCCTTCCACTGCCTAGCGTCAAAATCAGCCACTACCGCTCAGATAAACCGGCACCAATCACACTTTAAACAGGCAATCCGACTAAGAGACGGGAGCAGACGCGTCACTGGTGTCGGTTGCGAGCCATGTCCTGTACACTCTC